GCCCCCCCCAGTCCCCTCACCCCACAGAGGAAATGGGGGCGGGCGGACAAGAGCCGGGAGGCAGGGCCCGGGCACAGCAAGTTCCCACTTCCACTTCCCGGCCCGCCGCAGGCCCCACGGAAACCAGAGCACAGACGGTCTGAGGGCACTTCCCCTGCGTGGCCTCAGCGCCTGCGGGGGCCACCCTCTCACCCCTTCCGGGTCCCTCACTCTCAGAGACCCCAACCCCAGCGTGGGCGGAGGAAGGCGTGGGAAGGGAGGGGACCATCGCACTTAGAAACGTGCCGCCCGCCCGCGGCAGGCCTGTGGACCTGGCTGAGTGCAGCGCAGGGCGAGCAGGGCATTTAGAGTGGGGTGTGCCGGTGACAAAGTGCAAACCCACGTGCAGGAGAGCACCCCTGTTATGACAGGGTCCCCCCGAGAGTAGGTACGCAGGGAATGGCTCTCTGCTCTACATCGATAGGGACAAAACAGGGATTTGAGCTGAGTCAGAAAGCATTTAAGTTAGACAGTAGAAAGAACTTACTGTGGGGAGCCCTGGTGACTGAAGGAGGGAATTTAGTTTCCCCCTTTTTGGAAGAGGTATGGTAAGGATATGGGGGGATGGGTCACTCAGATACAGAGGAGCTTTAATCTGGCCTGGAATATTGGAGTTTGGGGACAGGAATTGATAAAATGGGATAGGGGTGTCGTCCTCTCCCCCCTCTCAGGGGATGGGCAGAGAAGAAAATGCTAGTCTTGCTCCCTTGTCTTATGTCCCTTTTGAGTGGCTGCCTCCCTGCCCCTTCCCACCCAGCAGTAGCTCTGGGGTGACTTCTCAGTGAGATGACCTCAAACCTCCAGACAGAGGAAGTTGCTGTTCTCATGTGGTTGGGGAGCTGTTCTCATGCACACCCTGACAACCTGCCTTCCTCTTGCCCTTCACACACACAGTACCCACTGCTCAAATGTCACTCTCAGCAGATCATTTGAGGAGAGCATAAAGGCCAGTTCTGGGGGGGGTGTCCTGAAGGATTTTTGAAGAGGGTCTCCTCCTTAGGGTTGTGCCTTCAAGGAGTGGGGGCAAGAACATGGGTATGCAAGAAGACTGGGGGCCTGGAGAGAAGGGAGCCATGAGGCAGAAGATGCGGTTGTGGAGAGAGAGGAGGGGCCCCTGTCCTTACCTTGATCCCATGGCCAATGTCATCCAGGCAGCCAAAGTTGAGGGGTTTCCTGAAGTAGGGCGTGAGGGGAGGTAGGCTCTCGGGGGCGATGATTTTCTGGCTAGGGGGCAGCCGCTGGACAGTGGCTAAAGTGCCTATTTCCCTTCGGGCCACCTTCTCCATATGCATGTTCACCATCTGTGTGACAGGATTTGAGGGGACAGTGAAGGGGGCTCTATATAGGACCTTCCCCTTAATGGAAGAAGAGGCGAGAGACGGGTGGGTGTAGGACCGTGGGAGGCAATGAGGTCGAGAAGGAGTGAGTTTTGTCCCCAAAGCCACACAGCATTTGGCAAGAGTGTTGCCAGGGGAAGATGGAGCCACTTTGGAGCAACTTCCTGGTGGAAGAGAATAGTAGTTATTCTTAGCTGAGCAGGAACCAGAGGCAAAGAGAAAACGGCATCCCTGGGGATGTCTGGGAGAGACTGAAGCACCGGGCTGGCTTGGGGGCTGGGAGGAAAGAAGTGGCTGAGAATCGTGGCAGGGTCAGCTCTCCCTTTTGAGGGACAAATAAGCGAATAATTTCCTCCTGGGATGTTCTGTGGAGAAACCTCCAGCACTGAGAGGGTAGGAACTCCCATCTGCTGGGATGAGAGGAAGACACACCCACACTGGGCATGGGGCTGCCGCGCAGGCCCGGCCGGTGTGTGGCTGGATCTGTGCGTGTGGTTAATGGGGCAATTATTCCCCAGCCAAGGATCCAGGAAGGAAGGAGGAGGGTGTGTGTAATAGGTGGGTGGGGGACACTATGGTGGTAGCAGTGCTTCCAGGGCTGAAGATGACCTTGCCAAGCAAGCACTCTGGGTCTAGGACATTTTATTAAGTCATTGTGTTGAGATGGAAACAAGGTCCACTTTGCCTCTTTCCTGGACTATGCAGCCGCCGTGATTAGTCTACTTTCTAGCACACAGGATAGAATTCCGAGAAAGAGCGAGCTCTGTCTTCAGGGAGTACCTAGTCTGATGGGGCGGCAAGGCCCAGCACTGACACAGGTACCAAGATGCTTGGGAATCTTATTAAGTTTTCATGGTGGAGTCAGGCATTTGGGTGTGGAAAAAGGCAAAAAAGAAGTTTTACTGGAAAAAATGCCCAAGTGGAGCTGAAGAGTTGGGGGCTTTATGCAAGAAGCCTTCGCACATTCCTTACCTGGCCCAGTGTGCTCACACGAGCTTCCACCTCTCGCAGAGCGACTGCCTGCAGGTCCAACATGCGCAAAGTGTTCCCGGCCAGGTTGCCCACTTGGTAGGCCACGCTGGCCAGGGCCTGGGTGGTAAAGGCCCTGGTCTCTTCCAGGGCCTTCCGCTTGTCTGTGGCCTGAAATATAGAAAGTCTTGGTCTGAGGCCAGGACATTCCACTGATCCTTTGCTGGACAGGTGGGATGGGAGAGGGTATAGGGGAGGTGGGGGTTGAATTGGGAAAAGCAACAACCCTTAGATGTTTGAAGTATTTTTCATAAGAATGTTGGTGCAATTAGAGGGACTCAGGGGACATCAGGAAAGCAAATCTGTAGCCCCAGGGGAATGGGGGGAAGGGAAAGATACACCTCTTCAAATAGTCAAGCTGAGGATTAACCCTACCACCTTCTTGAGGCTTGGGGAAGGTAATGGGTAAATAGTAGAAAGGAGAGAGGAGGCCAATACTGGTTGGAGGAGATCTCAAACTTAAAACCAACCAAGCAACATCAGGCCCTCATCTTAGACCTTCTAATCAGAATCCCACAGGGAGTGAGACTGATGAGTTTGTGCCTTTAAAAGCTCCCCAGGTGACTCTTGTGCTTTTTCTTTAACTCCACTCTGCAGTCGGGTGTTTAGGGAACAATGATTTGGTCCATTTTGTAGAAAAGGAAACTGATACCCAAAGATAGTGACCTCATTCATTCCTTCCAATAGTTCCCCATACATGGGAAATGAAATCCAAACTACTAACCATGGCTTATATGGACCCCACAAGACTGGGTCCTGTTTTCACTCTCATCCCCTATCACCCACTCTCTCACTCCCCTCCAACCACATTGGCCATTGGATTTCTGTTCCCTGATCAAGCTAAGGTTGTTTCTACCTCAGGGCCTTTGCACTTTTACTTTTTTCAAGAAATCTTATTAAGTCTCAGCTCTTCAGAGACACCTTTCCTCACCACCCTATGGTTTTCCCTAGCCCACTTCAGTATCTGCTAGCAATTACTCTATTGTCTTTTCTTTAAAGCACTTAACGCTATCAGCAATTACTTATCTCTTTATTATCTACCACACACACTAAAATGTAAGCACAGTGAAGGCAAGGAGCTTGCTTGTTTTATTCTCAATCTCATACTGGTATAGTGTCCCCGACACAAACTATAATAAATATGCACTTGAGTTAATTAGTGGATTTAATGTAAACCCAAATACTTGCTGGGCATCTTCCCATTGCATGCCAGGCACTGTGCCAAGGGCTAGGCAGGGTCACACTGCCAGCCAGTGGTAAAGGGGTGGGTAGGGAGTGGCTTAAGACAGAAGAGGGATTTTTTTCAGCCCCAGATCAGACTGTGAGGGTTGGAGCAAAACTCTGGTCATTTGATTCCCCAGGCAGCTTCCTCATCTCTGGTTGGGTCATGGAGTTGCTGAACTCTAGCCTGTGCCTTTGTGGGGGTGGGGAGGTAAGTCCAGGGCAGACAAGGCTGCACTCAGGTGCTCCTCAAAGCCAGCCAGTGGAGAACAGACCTGGAACCTATCAGAGCAGGGTGCTCAGAGAGATCTGGGGGACTTCAATGTAGCTTGAGTTAGGCTGGAGCCAAAGGGCAGACCCAGAACCTTCTGAGCTGCCCCTCCTGTTACTCGTCTCAGGAGTCCCTCCCTGCCTTTCTGTTCCAACACCAGTTAGGATGCTTATTTGAGGCAATTTACATTTTGTTCGCATATATAACCAAGTGCCTTGGAAAAGCAAACAATCGACCCAGGATTTTTTTTATTGATTTTTTTTTTTTTTAGAGAGAGAGACAGAGAAAAACCTGAAACCTGGGTATGTGTCCTGACCAGGAATCAAACCCCCGACCTCTCAGGGTACTGGATGACTCTCCAGCTAACTGAGCCACACTGGCCAGACCAACCCAGGGTGTTAAAACCAGAAAGGATATCAGGTCTTGTTCTAGTTCAAGATCTTCCTTTAATAGGTGAGGAAATGAAGGCCCAAATAGATCAGTGACTACCTCTTTGGTCTCCACCCAGATTTCTTAGCTCAACTCTCCTGTACGGTTCCCTCCCAGGACTGGCATGTGGATTTTTTCCATCAGTCTAAATAGAAAAATGTCTGCTTGGGCCCAGCTCTGGGAGGCTAGAAGCCCGTATGCCTACTAACCCTTTGGTCTTAGGCCAAGTTAGGTCTGGAGGTCAAAGTTTTGGGATCTATCTTCATGACTGACTGCTTATTTATCATGCAAATTACCCTGCCTGTAAAACCCCTGGACCCTGACAGAGAACTCTGCAGTTGACCCCATTCCCCATGGGTTTCCTGACACCTGCTTGGGGTGGATGGAGGGGTGGGGGAGGACAAGGGGCCTGGAAATGGGGCCTTGTTAAAGAGCAGTTCTGAGAAGTCATCCAAACCCTTCCCAGGCATTTGCCCTTCAGACAAAAATCCTCAGAGATGCCAGAAAAGGTCATTGGTTGTGTGGTCTGATAGTTAGTGTTCTGCATGAAAGAAACATGAATCCAGGGCTGTTCCACCTCCAAAGAATTGACTTTTGTTATCTACATGTGATGATGATGATAACAGTCACTCTGCCAGTCATCTTGGCCTTCTCAAGGGGCAGGCACTGGGCTAAATGCTCCAGTACACGATCACACTTAACCTGTGTAAAGAATCAAGGGGCAACTTGCCACAGGTCCCACAGTTGGTAGTTGGCAGATTTGGAAATTGGACTTTTGTCTTTATGTCTTCAAATCCCGTGTGCACACTCTGTGCAAATGAGAACCCACCTGACAGTGTGTTGAGATGTGCAGAAGTTATTGAAGGAATGGGAAGGACCACCTCCGCCCTTTATCATCAGGAGGAGCGGGCCTGCCAGTGCCAGGAGAAGGGAGCTGGCTTACGCATTCTGAAATTACACCCCGGGTAGTGTTTTCAACTAAAGTTTTGTTGGATGGACTCTGGAGTCAGAGATGCATTTGAATCCAGGTTCTGCCACTAGCTTGAAAACCTTGGGAAAGCAAGTTCACCTTCTGAACCTCAGCCTCCTGGTTGTGAAATGAGAGTTGTGCTCACCTCGCAGGATTGGCGTGGGGACTACAGGAGGCCCAAAGTAAGGAGGCCGAGCATTTTCACTGCTCTTATCATTGACTCTCTTTAATCTGCCACATTCCCATAAGCACTTGCTCCTTTTACTATTCTTTTTCAACACTCTTGTTAATCTGGGATGCCCCTGTGCCTCATCTCAGTAATCAAGCGACAGTTTGAACAGGTTAGAAAAATGAAGTTTTGCCCAAGGGGTAACAGGATTAGTGTGTAGCTCTTCAGGGAGCAGAGCAAACTGAGGACAGAGAGTGCAAGTAAATTATCTTAAAGTCACACAGCATGTCAGGGAGGCGGGAAGGTGGGGAGCTCAGCTTCAGATGTCAGGTGCTTCAGATGCTCAGCTTCGGCAGCCTAGGCTTCTGTTTCCAAACTATGTGACCTTAACCAAGTCACCTTGCCTCCCTGCGCTGCTGTTTGCTCATCTATGAAATAGAAACGATATTGTCTCACAAGGTGGTCATTAGGATTAAAGAAACAGCAGGGGTGTTCAGTCATTAAGTTTTTCTCTTTCCTCTTCCCTTGACCCAGGAATCCACATGCTCAGTCCTGGCACAACCAAGCAATTTAGAAAACTGCTCTAAAATGCTGCTATAGCCCGGCCAGCATGGCTCAGCAGTTGAGCATGTACCTAGGATCCAGGAGATTGAGGTTCGATTCCCGGTCAGGGCACATTCCCTGGGTTGTGGGCTCAGTCCCCAGTCGGGGGGCGGGTAGGAGGCAGCCGATCAATGACTCTCATCATTGATGTTTCTATTTCTCTCTCTCCCTCTCCCTTCCTCTCTCTGAAGTCAATAAAATATTTTAAATAAATAAAAATAAGATGCTGCTATATCTTCACCCTTGGCTGGCAGCCTGGTCTCTGCAGTCACGTTCATCTCCTGGCCTCGGTGTCAGACCCCCTCTCTTTAACCCAGCCTAGTCTGACATCTCTCTGCTCTCCCGCTCTCCCTGGTCCATCTCAAGTTCACTACCATGTGTGGGAAGTCCTCACCTAGAGCCAGCCTAAAAATGAAATGATGGCACCAACATTTGTGTGAGGACAAGCCTTTGGGCCTGTGGATTTGAGTGAGAGGCTGGGAAGGAGACGAACCTAGGGTTCATCTGATAACAGCGTGGAATAGCGTCTGAGGCTTTGGGAGAGAAAGGCCCAGTGGGGGCTTGGGTAGCATGGGGTCACGGTTACAGTTTGGGAGACTGGGTGGAAGCTGAGGCCTGGAGCAGGAGGATTTCTCACTTGAAGCCCCTGACAAGCACCTGTCAGGGTGGTCCCCATGGCCTTGCCCTGGGGCTGGCCTTGCCCAGGGCCCCTCCAGGGGCTGGGGCGTCGGGGCCTGTGCCCGTCTGCCTACCTGCGCGTAGTTGTCTTCGCAGTAGTCAGCGACTCGCAGCAGGGCCGTGTGGTTGCCCCGCAGAGCCTCGCGGCCCGTGGGGATCTCAAACTCCTGCAGCTGCTGCAACTCCGCCATCGCCCCCAGCCTCTGCCGGCTCCCCGGGGAGCTACTGGTTTTGTGCCTCACCCTGCCCTTGATTGGTCGCTCTGCCTTCCCTCTCTCTCACCGCTTTTGGTTTCCTCTTCGTGAGAGACACAAACCTGCTTGCAAAGGTCAGGCATGCTCATTCCCGGACAAGAGGAAGTCAGTCCCTGCTCCCTGGGCCTGCGCCCTTCTGTCCCCTGCCCAGAGGAAGGGGAAAGCCAGTGGCCCCTTTGGGGGCCCAGCCCCTCAATCCCTCCCAACAGAGGAAGCCAAGGTCGGGGCGTCTGTGATTGCTCCCTGGGCCTGGAGAGGAAACTGTTGGGGGGGGTAGATTGTGGAGGAAGGGGGTTGGCCTGCTGGGGGGGGCGTGGAGATGGATTTTCCACTCATGGAAGGGGAGGAAAAGGCAGAGGGTGGGGGCTTCCTTGGGAAGCCCAGGGATGAGTCACCAAGGGACAGGCGAGTGGAGGGTGGAGAGGATATGGAGACCAGTCACGCTGCGGGCCTGTAGGGTGGCAGAGCAGCAACAATGGGAAACAGACAACGCAGCCGCCAGAGCCCCACTGAACACCAGGAAGATACAGAGGTCCCTGGGCAGTGTTTTCAAGCCTCTGCAGGTTTGTGCGATGAAGACCTTGTGTACATGGATTATGCTCGATGAGGCAGGAGGAGGTGAAACGGACCAAGTGTAAGGTGAAACGGACCAAGTGTAATGTGAGGGACTCAGATTAGACAACAAGAAGGACTTGACTTTCAGAAGCACCAGGTTCAAGTTCCAGATGAACTGGTCGGGCTTAGGAAGCAGCGGTTGATAGAGCACTGCGCCGGCCTCAGGAGGTAGGTGCTCTGTTTCCTGCATTAATGGGGAGTTGGGCTAGATGACCTCCAGGGGCCGGTCCTGGTCTCCGGTTCTTAGAGATCCCGGATCTGGGGAAATTAGGATGGATCCTGGGACTCCTCCCACCCCGCCCAGCACCCAGTGTCATCCTGGAGACAGAAGAAAAAGAGGATCCCTCACTGACCATATTGGCCCCTTAACATCTGCTCCTCGAGAGGGTCCCCTTGTCATTGGACTGAGCTGCACCAAGCAGCAGCTCAGTGTCTGTCATCTTGGGTGGTTCTGGGAGGAGACCAAGAGAAAAATCAAGATATGTGCCCTATGCTGAGGGCAACCCACATCCAGGGCTCAGCAGGAGGCAAGGAGGCAGAGAAGCATGGACATGGGTGTTAGATGTGGCCATGGCCCCAAGTGCTAATTGACACAGCATTCTATGTGAGTACTTTTTTTTTAAGTTTTTAATTTTTTTAAAATATGTTTTTATTGATTTCGGAGAGAGGAAAGGAGAGGGACAGAGAGATAGAAACATTGATTAGAAAGAAACACCGATCAGCTGCTTCCTGCCACCCCCTACCTGGGATGGAGCCCGTGACCCGGGCATGTGCCCTGACTGGGAATCGAATTGTGACCTCCTGGTTCATGGGTTGACACTCAACCACTGAGCAACACCGGCCTGGCAGTACATTTTTATTGAACAAATGAATGAAGAGCGAGTTGGGAGAACCCTATAAAGTGGGGCTCCAATCAGGAACATGAAATCTTCTTGGGTGAAGGAACTTAGGAGCTGGTCCAGGACTTGCCTCATTGGGAGGGGAAGAGAGGGCTGGAGGGTGAGAACTGGGGTATAGGCTCTAAGCCAGAGGGGTCACTAGAGGAGTGCAGCTCATGCAGGGGGCAGGGGGTCTGCTCTGGTGGCAGTGAGAGCCTGGAGGCTCAGGCTGATGGATGGGCTTAGAACCTTGAGCCTATGATCAGCTTAGGCATCAGATTTGGGCTTCCAGACCATCTGCTTTATCCAAAGACTTTCAGCTGATGAGAAGCTGGGTGGCTCAAACACCATATTGCCTGGGTTGGGCACAAGTGACTTGAAGTGCACGCCCTTTCTTGGCAGGTGAGTGGGGTTGGGGTTGTACTGGGCTGGGATCTAGTCTTAGAATTATTGAGGTTAGGCTCCTGACAGGCCTTCCTGATAACTGTGTAATGATGATGATAATAGTAATAATAAGAAATGTATTGTGTTCATTATGTGCCAGGCAATGTATTAAAATATTCTAAATGCATTATTTTTTAGTACTTGCAATACTCGTATAGGGTAGATACTATTATTATACCCATTTTGCCGATGGGGAAACTAAAATTCAAGGAGGTTGAGTGACTTGCCTAAGGCCACACAGCTTGGAAGCAACAGAGCTGGGATCAGAGCTAGAGCCTAACAGGCTCCAGAGCCCTTCTCTTAACCACTAGTGTTCCCTCTCCCTTGATAGGACCTGGAATTTCCTTAAATCTCCTTCACTGAAAGAAACTCTTTTTCTCTCCTTTCCCCAAGCTCTGAGTCCTGTTTCCTCCATAGATAGGCCCTTATCTGAGAACAGAGATCGTGCCTCCCCCATCAGATTGGGAGCATCCTCTCCTCTTGAGCTAGATTCATGATGGAGGTGGGGTGGGGAGCATGCAGTGAACATAGGGTGAGCAATAAGAGGCCTGAGGTGAGGGACATGCGGGGAAGAGAGTAAAAGTGGAGGTATAGAGAGTGCAGAGGAGGGAGCTGGGGGAGCCCAGGGGATTTGCAATCCAGGCCACAAAATCCTGTCCGGAACCAGGTCTGTCCGGGCAGATGGCCCAGGAGCTCAGCGAGAAGGAGCTACTGAGGATGGAAGTGGAGCAGCTGAAGAAGGAAGCGAGGAACCCAAGGGCTCCGGTGAGTCTCCCCTTCCCTCCCCGGCTCCCTCTTCTCCATCCCCTCCATCCCCTCCTATTCCTCATGGAGCTGGGACTCGGAGGAGGCAGTGATGGACAAGGGGGGTGGCACCTCCCCAGGACAGCAGAAGGAGAGGAAGTGGGGTAGGATGTGGAAGGAGGCTGGGGTTTGACCCCATGGAGGTGCACAGCAGAGAGCCTCTGGGCCTGTCCAGCCCTGTCTCCAGGCAGCGTCCCTTGCAGGTAAGTCAGGTTTTGTGGCTCTGGACAAGGAACTGACCCCCTCTCACACCTGCCTGCCCCTTTCACCTTCCTCCTCTCTGGCCACTGTCTCCGCCCTGCCCAAAAGCCTGTTTTCTTGGGACTGACCAAGTCATGGATCCTGAGCAATAAACAAGGGTTGGAACCTTGCTTTGCTTTCTCACAGATTTCCAAGACAGGAAGGGAAATCAAGGGTTATGTGGAGGCCCACGCAGGGAACGACCCTCTTCTCAAAGGCATCTCTGAGGACAAGAACCCCTTCAAGGAGAAAGGCACTTGTATGATAAACTGATGGCACCAGAGCCCCTCACCCTGACTGACTGTCGCTCCTCAGCCCCACTCCTCACCCAGAACCAACTGGGCTGGGACACCCGAGAATCAATGAGCTTCCACCTTCTCTCAGTCACAGAATAGGTAAAGAGACCTGGCTGCATGCACCGTGAATCCATTTCCCAAGCCCACTTTGCACTCTTTTCTGCCATTACCTCCCCCGCCTGCTGGGTCCCTGTTGAGCCCACTTGTAAACACTCTGATCTTCTAGTTCAGCAGCTGGCCCTGTGAGTGGTGGGGTCTGAAAAGCCTGCAATACCCTGAGACCCCAGAGGGCAGGCTTAGGAGACACTTACTCCTCCTTAGAGCTTCTCCCAGTTTCCCCCTTCACCTCATCCTAGGAACCAGCGTTTCCATCGGGGTAGTTGGGGTTGAGGGCTGGAGTCAGGAGGCTCTTTGTCCCATCTCATGTGCAATCTTGTGGTCCTCCTCCGAGTCATTTAGATCAGCCCAGATGGCCTGATAACAAAAAGAGTTTGCAAAGTCATGATTTCATGATTTATTTAATATGATCGAGGTCTTTTGTGCCCTGGGCACCAGGGATAGAAAAGTGAACAAGACTAACGTGGCTTCTATTTTCATGGAATTTAGCAGGGAAGACATGGAACAAAGAGTTTATAATTAAATCAGTAAGTGTTGCTATGGGGAAAGAAAAGCCGAAGGTGGTGTAGACACACACAGCAGGCAGACAGACATTCGGGGCAAGGAACAAGGTGACCTGAACTGTTGCAGGCCAGCGGGGCGAGGGCAGAACTGGAAGTGGTTAACCTTGAGGCTGGAGAGGGAGACGGGGATCAAGTGTTAAAGCACTTTGCTTGGAGCTCAGGTAAGAGCTCTCTCCTTTATTTATTTTTTAAAGTATGTCTTTATTGATTTCAGAGAGAGGAAGGGGGAGCGAGAGAGTTGAAACATCAATGATGAGAGAGTCATTGATCGGCTGCCTCCTGCACACCCCCTGCTGGGGATCGAGCCAGCAACCCGGGCATGTGCCCCGACCAGGAATCAAACCTTGATCTCCCTGATCCTAGGTCGATGCTCAACCACTGAGCCACCCCGGCCAGGCAAGAACTNAAACCTCGATCTCCCGGATCCTAGGTCGATGCTCAACCACTGAGCCACCCCGGCCAGGCAAGAACTTTCTTCTTTACCTTCAAGGCAATGCAAAGTCTAAGAAGGTATTTAAATAGTGGAGAGACAGGCTCTGATCAGCAGAAGGGAGGCTGGATCCTGCTNCATTTAAATAGTGGAGAGATAGGCTCTGAAGAGCAGAAGGGAGGCTGGATCCTGCTAAGGGCTGGGGGTACAATGAAAAAGAGACTGATTTCTGGGCCTTGTTAGCAGAGCAATTACTGTCTAAAGGAGCCACAGACACACACTCAAAGAGGGTCTGTGTGGAGTATGAGGGGACCCCCTAGGAGGGCTACCTAATCCAGCTGAATGGGTGTGTTGAATCCCGGGAGGGCTGACAGGAAAGGCCTGTCAGCTGTTCCTGGATCTGTTCAGAGCGCATCCGGCAGCCTTCTGACAGCACCTCATCTTTGCAAAGCGGTGTCTCCTAGCTGGCACCAAACTGGGCTTTACCAGGCCAGTGCGTTATTCTGATGATGTTGATGGGCACATGGCAAGATCAGCAAATCCTGTTGACATTAGCCCCGTGCCTTACTTCTTTTTAAAAATTCAGTAGTTTCATTTTGAAATCATTTTAGATTTACAGAGTTGTAAATCTAGTTCAGCGTTCCCACATGCTTTTCACCCAGCTTCTCCTAATGTTAATATCTTACATAACCATGATACTTTTATTAAAACTAAGAAATTAGCATTGGTACAATGCTATTAACTAAGCTCCAGACTTTATTTGAATTTCCCTAGCTTTTCCACTAGTGGCGTTTTTCTGTTCCAGGATCCACATACACTTAATGTCTTGCTTATTTCTACTGGGAAGACCTTCTAGGAGACAGAATAGTCTAGGATACCATGGCTCTCTGGAAGACGTTCCATAAGTCCATAGCTGGCAGGGACACGACAGCCAAGGAACACAAATCCAATTCCTAAATAAGTGCCGATTCCAGTGACAATTCTCTGTCCTCTCATTGACCTGGCTGGTTATCTTGAGGTCTGGTGTTATATGAGGGGCTCAGGGTTGTCACCGTTGCTGGCTCATTGGTGAAGTTGTTCTGGTTTTGATGAAGGAAAGCCCATGCTTGTCCACTCATGCATAAACTGTATTCCTACCTCTCTAGCTGCTTTATTTCATGAGCCTCAGTCAGCTCAGTGGGATTATAAAGAGCCTCTTGTGCAGGGAGCTTTCTGGTAAACCTGTTCATGACACTTGAATATTTTCAGCATCTGAGCTTACCCTAAGGGGACCAGCCACATAGCTCTCTCCAGATATCCTGTCTTCAGTCCGTCAATTGTACTCTAACACCCGATCATCTGACCAGAACCTTAATTGCTTCCCGGGAATCAGAGAGGTAGGAATCCCTTTCCCTAATAACTTTCAGGGCCAGCCGAGAAGGGCAGTTCCCAGAGAAAGTGGAATCACTGGGATCCAGGCACTCAGAGGAGATTAGGAACTGAATCAGGTAAGTGGATTAAGAACCGAGAGAAGGTGATGAGTTGGAAAGATAATTGGGAAGTCAAATTTTCAGGGTTTAGAGATTGATTGAATGTTGGAGGATGGCCAGGGGACTTCAAGGATGATTTCAAGTTTCTTTCTGGGATGACTAAATGAATGGTGGTGTCACCAACTAGAAAGCCCTCTCCACCAGCTTGACTAGAGATTTCCCTGGGCTTCTCCTCCCTTCCCTTGAGCCCTGTTGAGAATGGATGAGAGGTGGCCACTGATACTTCAAAAGTAGGTGACACTGCTCAAGATGGCTGCATGGATCAAACTGAGAAGAAACTAAAAAGAGAACTTGGAGAACATCAGCAGCTCAGGCTGGGGTGGAGGAAGAAAGGCCATTAAAAGGGAGGGTCAGAGGTGTGAGGCCACCAAGCAGAGGCTGGACAACTGAAACTCTAATGATCCTGAGCAGTAAAATGATGTCAAGTCAGGAAAAGGGAGGAAGAGAGGGGGAATGCTCCTGATTTCCTGGTCAACCTACATCAATCTGAATAATTCTCCAGGTTCAAATTGTCTATCGCCTTTCTTCCACGAGGACTCCACGTTCAGGATGGGATTCCCAGACCTTAGCAGGAGGAGAGGGGAAGAGGGGAACAGCTGACTGGCTAATTCAGGGCTCAGCTTCTGAAGCTGGCTGAAGCTAGAAATCCTTCCTAGTGAATCAGACAGCCCAGCCCCTCCCACCCCGGTACCTCCTGGATCTCACCCCTGCAGCCTGGAGGGGTGGGGTCTTGTCTGCTAGGCATCTTGGTGCCTTAGACAGAGTTTGATTACCCTACTATGACCTCAGGGCCTCTAGGAAAGATAGTCAGAGCCCTCTGCCCCACCCTGTTCAATTCCCTATGAGCTTGAAGCCTGGGAACAAGAACAGCTTCATGGGCGTGTTCCACCAATACTGTCACATAGCTGTCACATGGGGCCTCCTGCTTAGAAGGGCCCTCTGCTTGCTTTAACACTCTGTTATAGCCGTCTTGAAATTCTTAATAATTTTTGCACAGGGGTCCCTACACATTTTCCTTTTGTCCTGGGCCCCATCTATTCTGTATCTGGTGCTGTGTAGGGAGACAGATGCCTGGTCCTGGTGGAGGAGGCAGGGCACTCATCCAGGAGCCGAGTTCAAAGTGGGGTTCAAAATAGCATCAAAACGTCCAGCTGGTGTGGCTCAGCGTTGAGCATCGACCTATAATCCAGGAGATCTTGAATCAATCCCCAGTAGGAGGCGTGCAGGAGGCAGCCGATCAATGACTCTCTCATCATTGATGTTTCTATCTCTCTCCCTCTCCCTTCCTTTCTCTGAAATCAATAAAAAACATTTTTTTTAAATAGCATCAAAACCATCCTACTCCCTGCCCTCCCCCGCCATGTCTGAAGCTGGGGTAGGGGAGACAACTCTGGGGTCCCCTTGTCCCCTCTCATTTTCCTGTTCTCTAGCAGACCACAGAAATGGGTGAAGTGGGCCACTCATCACCTGTAGCATCAGAGCTGAGGAGACAGGAACCAAGGAATCCAGGAGAGGAGAGGCCAAGAAGCTCAGTGGGCTTGCCTCTCCCTGCCCACTCCCCCATCCCATCTAATCAGATGCAAATACCTGAGATACGATCTTCTATGTCTGTCACTCATTCACCAGTTTATCCCTTTGCTCTCTCTGCTAAGCCATTAGACTCATTGCCTCTCACCCCAGGATTCCACAGCCTCCTGCGAAACTCCCCTCCTACCTGGCTCCCTTCACCCCACACTCCACTTGGCCGCTAGTGTATTCTCTGTGGTTCTCTTGCTCAAAACCCTTCTTGACTCTCCACCCTCTGTAAGACCAAGTCAAGACTCCTGGGTTTAGCCTGCCCAGGTAGCTCAGTTGGTTAGAGCATCGTCCCAATATGCCAAGGCTGCTGGTTTGATCTCTGGTCAGGGCACATACAAGAATCAACTAATGAATGCATAAATAAATGGAACAACAAATTGATCTCTCCCCCCCCTCTCTAAAAAAATCAATAAAAACAAAACAAAAAAGACTTCTGGGTTTAGCACCCAGGCCTTCCCACACCCGTGGGGCAGGCCCTGCTGACCTCTGGGGCCTCAGCTTTCCCCACCGCTCACCTCACCTGCCCCCAGGACTCCATATGGTGCCACGTCTCCACCTAGCTAATTCACAGTCACAACCCCGTTTAAGCATCACTTCTAGTAAGCTTTCCCTGACTCCCTTTCTTTTGTAAATGGATAACTAGGTCATTCAAAATTAGGCGGTTCAGAATTCTAGAGGTATAAAAGGGTACACGCTGAACAGCCCCCCCACCCCGCATCAGGTAGCCTTTCAGGGGTGCCTTATGCATATACAAGCCAATACACATTAACGCTC